AATACAATAGTACAAGGAACACAGTTGTATTAAGCCTACAATACAATAGTACAAGGAACACAGTTGTATTAAGCCTATAACGCAGACATCCTGAGGGTCGTCACACAGCGTTTCTCTCGTGAGGAGAGTTTTTTTTTTAATTTGGCCCAAACACCTATTATGAATTCTAGTATGAAAATATGAAATAAAAAATGGGGGTCCTCGAATTCGTTGAGAAGATATATATTTTTTAGAAATAGGGCTTACGAACTCAGGATAATGTAAATTACGAGCTCTCTTAGTCCATATCGCTTGGAAATAATAACATAAATAATTTCAAATTATACACATGATGATGATGGTGATGATTTTAGATTGAATGATGATGACAATCATATTAATGTTAGTTTACCACAGGGTTGATGATTTTGATGTAAGACTTCATACCTGTTGGCATGACAACAGATGATGATACACCAATTGAAGATGTAGTAGTCTGTTTCGACGGTGTTGATACTGATATTGTATTGGAGGTCACCGTAGTTGTGTTATGGCGTGAGATACTAGCAGTACTATTTATCCCACCAGTAGATTGAGGAATTGTTGACTTTACACTTGTTTCCGTTTCCGGTACGACAGTAGTAATCGTATTAGTAGGTGATGTAGTAGTAGCAGAAGGCTTAGCAGCAATAGTAACAGCAGCAGTACTAGTAGTATCAGCATTAGCAGCAGCACTACTAGTAGCAGTAGTACTAGTAGTAGTACTAGGAGTAGAAGTATTAGCAGCAGCAGTACTAGTAGCAGTAGTACTAGTAGTAGTACTAGTAGCAGTAGTACTAGCAGCAGCACTAGTAGTCGGAGTAGTAGTAGCAGCAGCAGTACTAGTCGAATTAGTACCAGTAATACTAGGGGTAGAAGTATCAATGGTGACGGTAGYATTGGTAGCAAGAGTATTAGCAGGAGTATTAGAAGCAGTGGTCGTAGTTCCAGTCATAATAGAAGTCGTAGCATTATTTCCCTTTTCGACCTCAGATGAAGTAGCATTGGGGGTGGTTGTGGTTGGGATTATGTTACTCGTAGTTAGAGTGGGTGACGTGGAGTTGGTAGTAGGAGTTGGTGCTTTGGTGTTGGCTGAGTTATTCGCCGTACCGTTGGCTAAAGTACAAAGTACCACCAAGGTACATAGTTGAATCCAGGCACACAGTACGATCTAAAAATACATTACCACACAACATGAACGTCTATTATCCAGCTGAGCGGTGTACCAGGCGCGCAAAGCATGAGTGGACAAAATGACCGGCCCTAAGTATTTTTGAAGTTTGTAAGAACGAAGCAAACATGGCGGTAAAGTGAAATTGTTTTTATTCTTCCTTTCCATATTTCTGCTTCTTCTAGGCACGTATATTATATTTTAGTCAAAAGAAAACAGAGAATACGCAAAAGTTGGGTTACAGCAGAAATTTATAAGGGGGTTGAAAGTGTAACACTACGACCATGCTCCGTTTTGAGTTTTGATGCCATTCGAGTGCTATTTAACCGTACTACACTAGTTTGAACTACGATTATCAAGGGCTGGCTGCCTGTGTCGGTCGTTTAGGATCATAATCTTTATCATCATGTTTTTACAATCTTATCCACAACTGAAAATAAGTTGTTAATACAAAAAGAAGATTATCTAACTAGAAAAGAGTTCAAAGGACCCGCCATAACGATAACTTTGTTCAAATAGATGGAAGGATTTCATCCTATGACAACCTATTGAAGGGTTTTTCGCTTGGTAAACAAATGGATAAGCTCCTAAAATGCATGTAGTATAGTCAATATGTGTAAAATTGACTCTTTCTAATCCTTCTGAATTAAAAGGTCAAAGAAAAAAAAATGAAATGAAATGAAACTATGAGAAAAGAAAAAAGGGTTAAAACTGTGGAGGGAATGTAATTGACCGACTGTAAAACTCTCTGGATTTACTAGTATTTCAAAATATTGCATAATGAATACGGCGAATGAAATTTGGTAAAAAATATTTCCTCTAGAAATTGAAAAATGGATTAATGAAAAAACTAGTTGAATACGGGGGGAAAAATAAATGAAATTGAGTGATATTGATGGATCCACCCGTCATCAAAAATCAATTTCCAATTCATCTGCACGTTGACATTTCGAATAAACTTTTATTAAGTCTTTTTCAACACGATTGCGAAAATTAAAACAGGAAAAGAACACAATAGGTCGAAGTTAATGAAGAAAAGATGATGGCCCTCGGCACTTTTAAGGCGGTATTTTGGAAGGTTTCTCTAGTTTGTCGACTCTAAGTGACATGTCTACTTAAATCAAATGTCAGACAATCATGCAAATGGTTGAGTCTCCCGAGAGTCTTCTGCCAGATGGCAATATACTTCTTCTCAAAACCAAATGCGTTAATACACAACTTTTAGTTTCAAAATAAGCTAAATTATAAGTAATTTTCACCTCTATTCAACCAACTAGGTCAATATCTTAAACCACTTATCGCTTTTGTTGAAAAATTATTAATTTGGTATAGATAAAATTGGGACTTTTAAAATATTCTCTATGATTGAAGTTTTAGTTCCACACAATTTTCATCTGAGCGCTTTAAATGTCTCATAAGCACACAAAAATTCTACTATCTCAATTTACTTATTCTACTGGAATAGAATTCTCTCGATCATTACAACTGGACAAACCCATTTCTTATCCTACATTTTCCTCTCTTTATTCAGACTCGAGATTATTTTTCAAGGTTGATATTCGGTGATTCTATCGAGTTGGATGTTATCTCTATTTCATGTAGGTATATTTTTCAACCGTGGTTGAAAAAATATCATTTGTATTTTTTTAAATGGTAGTTCGTGAAAGCCCTGAGTCGCAAATTAGCAGCCTCAAAATCCTTTCTTGACTAGTTTTCTATCAGCGTTGAATCAGTTCCATGCGGTGAAAAAGATATAGAGTTCTGATTCACACCGGCTGAACAAACTTTAAGGAACACTCTTTTTGGTACACACGATCCTTAAGGCTTGTACTATCGAATATTATGCTTGTAGGACTATTAATCTTAACTTTTTATTGCTAAAAACTCAAGAATTTATTTGTATAAACTCGCTTGAGAAAACAACCATCGGGTCGATAGTGGTTCCATTTTATTCTGTTTGAAGGTTTCCTTTTTTATGGGTAATGTTTATTCAAACATCTCGTATCTCTTTTTACTGTTTTCCTGTTAATCATATTCAAAAAGAGACTCATTTATTATTTTTTTCCTTTTCTTTTCTATTTTTTTAAAAGCTTTCTAAAGTCTAGTGCAGTTGTTTATAAAGGGCCGCAGTTCTTCATTACGTAGCGCTTCTGGTCAACCCTTGCGAATGGAAAAAATCCATCTTTTTCAGAGTCGTGTCTTTGTAACTCAAAACCACAGTAAAAATACGCCATCATGTGTAGTATGATATGACTTTATTAAGATTTCATTCAAACATTTTTTTAAACTTAAATTTGATTTTTAAAGCATTTCCAAGAACGTTTTTSGCAAAAAGGTGTTTTCAAAACTACTTTCCTTTTCCTAAACGAAACCGAAACGAATGGCTTTGTGTTGAGACAGTTTTTTTCTGAAAAAGAAGAATTTGATATTCAGGTCCGTTCCTAACTGGATTTCGTCAATTATTTTTATCCAAAGAAAATTTTAAAAAACGTCGAAAATGAAGACTTTTACAATATTGTTGTGATATATGCTATTATCAACACGTATTATCTTTCACTTACTATCGTCTAATAATCATACGAAGATATTTTACCCACCATTATTAATGCCGTCTGAGAAAGACCAAGGTAGAGATCAGCGTAGCTTGTCTTTCCTTATTTTTCAGAAGAACTCCGTGGAATACTAAAGTACTTCTTGCAAATTAAAACTTCCCAAAGCGACATATATACGTCACTATAATAATAGGTTTTCAATTGTTTCTTGGCACAAGGAAGTGACGTCTGTCTATTCGAACCCTAGTGATTTGCATACAACTATATCCTAACTTAAACAGCTGATACCAACCTGTTTCTATTCTATTGTCGAGATTGTCGTACTTTTGACGTCTACCGACACTTATTTATCGGTGAAAGAGTTTTAATAGATCTAGATGTACTTTTACACCACACAGTTTTATTCTAATTGATGCAAGATAGATAGCGATGTCGGCGACAGAAAAATAAATAAGCGTATGGTGTGGTGAAATACAGAATATGCCAAGAAGCAATATTTCAAATTATTTCAATTCGTTATTTCAAAAGACTTAACATTTTTGACGGTATCGATATAACCGAGTTAAAGAGATGACGTTTATTTGCGTGTATGTGCGTTTTTGGGTGGAGGCCACTCCTAGTTGTTTTCTGGGTTGATGGCGAATGGGTTGAAGGTTTCGGAGTTTCTGGAGGGAGAGGTAGACAGTTCGTCGTAAGACTCCTAGTTGTGCTTCTTTCTGTGGTGGTGTTGGGGTCGTATGGATGGGAAGTCTATATGTCTGATTCAATAGGTGCATAAAACCTGCTTTTCGTGCCTTTTTGGGGGACTAATATGGTTGGGAAATCTGTTTGTGTGTTCATTGTAGTAATATGGGTGACTATCACCACTGTTCTCTCCCTTGCTACCAGGGTTTTCTCCGGTTTCCTCCCTCCGAAAAAATCAACATGTGAGTTGAGCGTTGTGTGCATAGAATACTGAATGTAGCGGTAGTGTGTGTGAGTGAAAGAGTGTCCTCAATTGTCCTCGAAAGCGCATGAACGACACTAATAAAGATATTTTTGAAAGGTCTGTATTTATGGAGCTATATATATAAATATTAAACGAAAGTCTGTGCGTATTTTTTAATGATAGTCATGTCTGTCTCAGGTAGGTAAAGCACCTGCTTCGCTTGCAAGCTTTATTTACATTTACAGTGTAAAAAAGATCTGATCTGGTCTGAAAATACGCTGAAGTGTTTTTAATACGCTCGGAAATCTTTAGCGGAAGATAAATAAGGAAAAAACGTGTGTTGTAATCAATCGGTGCCTTTTACGTAAACTTTACCATCAAAGTATGACGCATTTTGAGCAAACGTTTCGATTTTTTCTTTGTATGAAAACAGGAAAAACTGACGGTGCTCTTATCCAGTCCTGTCAAAATTAATCATTACCCTTTGAAACTTTTTGGTAACCTTGACAACAGGTTTTAACATAACCATAGCAATGAACAGATAAACAAAAGAAAACAGGTCAAAGCCATGTTTGATTTTGAAGATAAATTTATTTACCAGTTTTATACTTGGCTGATATCATTCCCACGTAGCTCCACTCTCACTCGAAGGAACTAAACTAGACCTTTCTAGACTATGAGCCGCCTACGTAACTTGGAACTACCACTCGTTGAAAAAAATATCTAATATCGCATATAGCTTTTTACTGTTTAATTTCTTTCTTTCTTGTAATGCAACACAAACATCGCGTTTTTGACAATCTTTACAAAAAAAAGCATGGACTATATACCATAGTTTTAACCGATTTTGGTCCATTTTCAAACCTTTTTAGAAAACTTGCATTATTCATGAAGGACGCAAAATAGGTCATTTTTGGCCATTTTTGAGCAAAAAGCATGGACTATAGCCCATGGTTTTCACCGATTTTGGTCCATCTTTTCACCTTTTCAAAATATATACATTATTTATGAAGACTGCAAAATAGGTCATTTTTGGCTATTTTCTGGCAAAAAGCATGAACTATAGCCCATGGTTTTGACCGATTTTGGTCCATTTCCACACCTTTTTAGAAAACATGCATTATTCAGGAAGGATGCAAAATAGGTCATTTTTGGCCATTTT